CTCCTTCTTTCCTTCCTCTTTTTTTTTTTTAAATAATTTTTATTAATTTTCCAATCATGTAATAAAAACAAACAATAAAACAAAACAAAACATACAAACAAATAAACATGTATAATTTCATAAACTCATTTTCCTTCACCTTATTTCCCGGACTTCCCCATACCTCCCTTTTTCTGCATCCTTATTTTTCCCTTTTGACAGCAACCCTCCATTTAATTAATTAACTCATCTTCATTATAATTCCCTTAAATTTATGATTTACAGCTGCAATTCTCTGTTTCTTAACACCATAGCATCTCAGCACTCCTCAATGTTACAACAATTTTTAAGGTACCGTATTTTTCGCACCATAGGGTGCACCGGACCATAGGGCGCACCCAGTTTTTTGGGGGGGAAATAAAGGGGAAAAAATTATTTCCCCCCCAGGCGCGGGCTGGGGAAGCTCGAGCTTCCCCCAACCCCAGCCCCCAAACAGGTAGCTCTCTGCAAGCCGTGGGAGCCCAGCGCTGGCTCCCGCTGCTTGTGGAGAGGTCTGCGAAGCCTGGACGCGCTGAGCTCAGCGCGCGCAGGCTTCGGCATGCTGGCAACCCTGCGCAAACAGCGGGAGCGCTCCCGCTGCTTGCAGGGAGGTCCGGGAAGCCTGGACGCGCTGAGCTCAGCGCGCGCAGGCTTCGGCATGCTGGCAACCCTGCGCAAACAGCGGGAGCGCTCCCGCTGCTTGCGGGGAGGTCCGCGAAGCCTGGACGCGCTGAGCTCAGCGCGCGCAGGCTTCGGCATGCTGGCAACCCTGCGCAAACAGCGGGAGCGCTCCCGCTGCTTGCGGGGAGGTCCGCGAAGCCTGGACGCGCTGAGCTCAGCGCGCGCAGGCTTCGGCATGCTGGCAACCCTGCGCAAACAGCGGGAGCGCTCCTGCTGTTTGCGGGGAGGTCCGCAAAGCCTGGACGCGCTGAGCTCAGCGCGCGCAGGCTTCGGCATGCTGGCAACCCTGTGCAAACAGCGGGAGCGCTCCTGCTGTTTGCGGGGAGGTCCGCGAAGCCTGGACGCGCTGAGCTCAGCGCGCGCAGGCTTCGGCATGCTGGCAACCCTGCGCAAACAGCGGGAGCGCTCCCGCTGCTTGCGGGGAGGTCCGGGAAACCTGGACGCGCTGAGCTCAGCGCGCGCAGGCTTCGGCATGCTGGCAACCCTGCGCAAACAGCGGGAGCGCTCCTGCTGTTTGCGGGGAGGTCCGCGAAGCCTGGACGCGCTGAGCTCAGCGCGCGCAGGCTTTGGCATGCTGGCAACCCTGCGCAAACAGCGGGAGCGCTCCCGCTGCTTGCGGGGAGGTCCGGGAAGCCTGGACGCGCTAAGCTCAGCGCGCGCAGGCTTCGGCATGCTGGCAACCCACCCCTCTCACTCTCCAGGCTTCAGCGAAAGCCTGCATTCGCACCATAGGACGCACACACATTTCCCCTTCATTTTTGGAGGGGGAAAAGTGCGTCCTATGGTGCGAAAAATACGGTATATTTTAAATTTCTTCCAATCTTCTTCCACTGTCTCACTCCCCTGGTCACGGATTCTGCCGGTCATCTCTGCCATTCCCATGTAGTCGATCACCTTCGCTTGCCATTCTTCCAGAGTGGGTAGCTGCTGCGTCTTCCAATACTTTGCCAGAAGAATTCTTGCTGCTGTGGTAGCATACATGAAAAAAGTTCTGTCCTTCCTTGGCACCAATTGGCCCACCATGCCCAGGAGAAAAGCCTCTGGTTTTTTAGAAAATGTCCATTTAAGGACCTTTTTAATTTCATTATAGATCATTTCCCAGTAGGCTTTAATCTTCGGGCAGGTCCACCAAAGGTGATAGAAAGTACCTTCAGTCTCATTACATTTCCAACATTTATTATTGGGCAAATGGTAAATTTTTGCAAGTTTGACTGGGGTCATATACCACCTATAGATCATTTTCATTATGTTTTCTCTCAAAGCATTACAAGCCGTAAATCTAACACCAATATTCCATAACCTTTCCCAGTCATCAAACATAATATCATGACCTATGTCTTGTGCCCATTTGATCATAGCTGATTTTACTGTTTCATCTTGTGTATTCCATTTCAGCAGCAAATTATACATTCTTGACAGGTTCTTAGTATTGGGTTCTAACAATTCTGTTTCTAATTTTGACCTCTCCATCTGAAAACCTATTTTCCTGTCCTGTTTAAATACCTCGTTTATCTGAAGGTAGTGCAACCAATCTCGTACTTTAGACTTTAATTTGTCATAACTCTGTAATTTAACCCTTTCACCATCTTGCTCTAAAATTTCACAATATTTTGGCCATTTGGACTCCATATTAAGTTTTTTTGTCTCTTTAGCTTCCATTGGTGATAGCCACCTGGGAGTTTTACTTTCCAGTAGATCTTTATATCTTATCCAAACATTGTATAGTGCTTTCCTGACAATATGGTTTTTAAAACCTTTATGTATTTTTACCTTGTCATACCATATATATGCATGCCAACCAAATCTATTGTCATACCCTTCCAGATCCAAAATGTCTGTGTTCTCAAGAAGCAGCCATTGTTTCAGCCAGCAGAACGCTGCCGATTCATAATAAAGTCTCAGGTCCGGCAGGGCAAACCCCCCTCTATCTTTTGCATCAGTTAAGATCTTAAAGTTTATTCTGAGCTTTTTGCCCTGCCAGACAAATTTTGATATATCTTTTTGCCACCTCTTGAAACAGTCCATTTTGTCCAGGATCTGGAGTGTCTGGAATAAAAACAACATTCTAGGCAATACATTCATCTTGATGACAGCAATTCGGCCTAACAAGGAAAGTCTCCACCTTGACCATATTTCTAGATCTTTCTTCACCTCTGTCCAACATTTGTCATAGTTGTCTTTAAATAAATTCACATTTTTAGAAGTCAGATTCACACCCAGGTACTTCACTTTTGTTATTACTAAACCTGTTTCACTCTGAAACTTCTCTTTTTCTGCCATTGTTAGATTTTTCTCCAACACTTTAGTTTTTTGCTTGTTCAGTTTAAATCCTGCTACTTGACCAAATATCTCAATTAGTTCTAATACTCTTTTGGTACTAGTATCTGGCTGTTGCAAAGTCAATACTAGGTCATCTGCGAATGCCCTTAGTTTGTAATTTCTGGCTCCGACCTTAACTCCTTTAACCAATTGGTCCCCTCTAATCATGTTTAACAAGACCTCCAGGACTGTTATAAAAAGTAAAGGGGATATTGGGCACCCCTGTCGTGTGCCTTTTTCTATAGGTATTTCTTCCATAACCACATTGTTCACAATCAACTTTGCCTTTTGCTTAGAATATATAGCACCTATACCGTTTTCAAAACCTTGGCCTACCCCCATCCCTTGGAGATTCTTCTTCATGAAGGTCCAACAAATATTATCAAAGGCTTTCTCCGCATCCACAAAAATCAAAACCGCCTTTCTATTAATGTTCACTTCCAACAATTCCAAAATGTCTATGATGTTCCTCACATTGTCCGACATATGTCTCCCTGGAAGAAAGCCTGTTTGGTCCTTGTGAATATGGACATATGGAGGGGCCACCAGTTTACCACTCTGGACTATAGCAGGTCAGTATAAAGACTTTGTATAAGCAAAAGGCTTGTTGAGCATGCGAAAGTAAAGATTGAACAGGAAACAGCTGCAGCTTGGAGTGCTGCCTTTAAGAGTCAGGGGAGGGTAAGGAAGGCTGGCTCTCCTGAGATTCCCTCAAACTCAAAGGAAGCACTCGTGGCAGACTAGATGAGACGTCATAATATGCAACTAGCAATCACGTGAAGGGCTCTTTGAAGTAAATTTCAGCCACATCCAGACAGGGACCCTGACATGATTAGCAGGGCGCCCCACCTGCAGAACCAACAGCCTCCTTCTTTCCTTCCTCTTGCCCCTAACCAATTGGTACAATCAGGAAGGAGTCCAAGAGTCCCATGGGACAAGGTGTGCTGAAGCTCAACAACTCTCCCTTACACATGCACTTTTCCACTCTTTTCATGCAGGCCATGGCTGGTATACACAACTATTTACAGCAGGCTTCCCCAACATGGTGGCCTCCAGATGTTTTGTACTACAACTCCCATTAGCCCCCGTCTACATGGCCAATGATCAGGGATGATGCAAGTTGTAGTCCAACAACATGCAGAGGACACCAGGTTGGAAAAGGCTGATTTACATCATTTTCTGGAAAAAAATATCCCACTACTTCCAGCAAGAAAACTACTTTAGACATTAGACATATCAAAGTACACAATGGGCAGTAGTTCAATCCTACAAAATGGATACATGCCAAGTTACAATTCTACTCTCCAAGACAATTGTGCTAAACCAGTATCTCTCTCGCTAATGCTCATTTGAGCCAGTGTTATTTGCCACTGATATTACATAGCCACAACAACCTCCTAAGCAATTATTTCCACCGCTAGAAATAATGATAAGATCAGCCTCTGTCTCAGGCGCAAGAGAAATGTGGGAGTGTGTGGAATGGAGAAATACAATTTCCTAGAATAGGAAAGGAGATAAAGATTGTTACCTATGCTCCTTGTGACTTGGATGTTGAAAGATGACACCCACAAGAGAATAGACAAAGGGTGAGCAGAATGTTATGCCAGAGAGAGAGATGTCAATTTGAATTTGTACTGAAAAGTTTCCATGTCCTTGTTCCATGGTAGTAATTTAGGCTTCAATGCTCCACACTGTGTGGCCATTTTCATACTTACCTCTAACAAATGAGAACATTGTAGCGGGAATCACTGTGTGAGATGGAAATTGAATTCATGGCTATAGGCACCTTACATTCTATGGTCCCCCATTTTTGCTCTCTATGCTCCATGTAATTCTTACTCCACCCATCAAAATATGTAACTGGAACATGTGCAAAATACAGAATTACACATTAACTGCATTTTATTTTAAAGCAGAGAATTCTAGACCATGAGAAGTGAAGCAGGGAACATCCATAAATCAGTAACCAGAGACACATTAAGTACAATCTAGATTATCTCTATATTTTTATTTGTCGTATTTGCTTTTTTCCGCAGAGCAGTATAACATCACAAAGATCAAAATAGAGACGATATCTTGTCTCTGAGCTCACATCAGTTATTACACAATAGGTACAAAACTAGGTAACTCTGTCTTATCATACAGCGTATATTTCCCCAGTCATTTATATACAAATAACTAAGCTACATGGAAAAATAGTAAAAACAAAATTCCAGAGGGTATGTTACTTGGTAAAAAAAACAAGGTTGGGGGAGGAAAGAGAAGGCAAGGAAGGGAGCAGCGCTTAGAGTATTCTGGTGGGGTTGATGTATATGAATGCATATTAAATGATTAGCCTCTAAGAATCCCTAATCAAGGGCCTACCCAACACAGCAGCTTCCAGGAGCAGTAGTTGGTGTTGTAGGGCTACCCTGACCTGCCAGCTTTTGAGTAGCTGCAGTTTATTGGGAGGCAGCAGGAGGGATAAGGCAGCAACAAGATCAGCATGGTGCAAATGCACCAGCAGAAGCAGCAGATTGTCTCTGCTGGTGTGTTTGCACTGTGCTGACCTCACTGCTGCCTCGTCCTTCCCCCTCCCAGTAAATAGGTCAGGTAAGTAGCACAGCCTCACTCTGCCAACTGCTACTGTCCCCCCAAAAGATGTTGCTGGACTCTCAATCATCCTTGACCATTGGCCATGCTGGCTGGAGCTGTAGTCCAGCAACATCTGGAGGGGGTGATGTTGGCTACCCCTGCCCTGATGGGAATGCAGGATCACTGCTGCACTGAGGGTCAAGTCTTTTGGGCCTATCACTTTCCAGTCTTGTGGGAGAGCAAAAACACCTTCCCTTTATTAACAGCTTAGCACTGATGCCTTTCCATGTCTCCACTTTGAAAAAAGCCACATAGCCTGAGACCTTTTGCTATTACTGGACCTTGTACATAGCTACTTGAAACTGCTACTCATAAGAAGCTCCAAGAATAACCAGCTTCTATGTACAATATGTATTTATATATAGCTTATGTTAAAAATTATTTTTTAAAAATATAGAATTTTTCCCAACACGGAAATACCGGCAAGTCAGCAGCACAGACTTCAGCCACATCCTTCACCCAACCCATAGAAAAAGGGAACTGGCCGTGAAGATTCGTTACAAATATGTGTAAATGTGTGTTGGAAGTGGTTGGAGAGTTGGGAAGTAAATGAGTCCCATAAAAACAGGCAAGAGTAAACTATTATCTCCTTCTCCAAAATTAGAAGTAAAAAACAACAAAATAAAAAAGGGTAAAAGGTCATTTCAAAGGGCTCTTTGAAATCCATTCTGTTTCATGAGGAGGTATGTCATACTTCTGGATGAAGAAGCCCTACTGCAGGCACAAAGGGACAACTATTTTCTGGTGCAGGGACCTGACGCCAAATCCACAGCTGGAACAAGAGCAGCCCATTAGTCTTTTTGAAATAAGAGCTGCATCACTGTGAAAGTGTGTTTGTGCTGCACTGGAAAGGGGAGGAACCAGAGCCCTCTCCTGTTCCAGTTCTGAAAAGGCGGCGCACAGCAGCTCAACAACTGGCTACATCTAGCTCAAAAGAGGGTCAGAACGAGGGCTTACGAGCATGCTTCAGCTACGGTGGCACAACTCACTGCTACGGCTTAGTAATTGGAGTGCCAGTTACAAAGAACAGCTATGTGGGTCTGAGGGTTCCTTTTAAAGCAGCAACAGGATTTTAAAAGCCAACCCACAAGAATATATTGCACACGTCTAACTGCAAAGAGAGGGATGGTTTTTTTATTTACAGAAACACGTTGCTTTTAAATATCTTCTCTTCTACTTCCTTCATCAGTCCCTCAGGCTATTTCAAGCAGGGGATATGAATGGAGCTGTTGTGTTCCAGCATCCCACCTCCTGTCCGGTTTCTTCTGGAACATACAGTGTGAGAGTGCAAACCGCAGCAGCACAACCGTCCCTCTTCCTCCAAGAAGAGTAACCACAAGTTTCAGAAAACCTGCCTAGCCCCACACAAACACTCTTGTCTAACCAAGCACAGCTTGGATGAAGGATGCTGCTGCTGTCCTTGAGCTCTGCATTAACTACGATGTGATGCATGGGTGAGAGAGAATATTAAGGCACAGAGAAAAGGAACAAAAGAGTCAAACCCCAGAGATCCTCATTTCAAGACTCTTCACAGGAGGGGTTAAAATCACCGTAAAAGAGCAGGTGTCCATTAACCACAGCAAGCTGTGGGAGAGACACATATAGCAGCGTAGACCAGAACAAGCCTTACTGGTAGTGAATGGGGAAGAGGAATCGAGAGAGGTGTCAGGAAAGGAAGAAGTCTAATGTTATTCCCCTTTTTTTGCGGGCAGTATTAATGCAGGCACAATTAACCACAACGGCAGCAGAGAAGTACAACACACTGCAATTAATTCTATTGCCCTTTCCAGCTTTAAATCATCAAGCAAACCAAGGTGTCTGGTAAATTCAGTGACTGATAGGCTTTTTTAGCTTGTAAAAGGGGCCTTGTGATTCTCACTTAGTGAACTTGTGCAAGTACAGGCCAGGCCTAGAGAGGTTAATGGAAAACCAATGCATTTTTTAAATCACGTGGACTGAAGGGAATGTAATGGCAAGGTAACAAATGCGCATCACAGATATGTTTACATCTGCTGGCGAAACTGCAGCCAGTCCGGTACAAAAGCAAGGGAAGAGAAGGTGGAATGCTCACCATCCCAGGCAAGCTCTATCCCACTGGCACTTAAAAATTAACTATTAACAAAAGTAAAATATTGATGACAGCAAGAAGAATTGGTAATTTACAACACATGTTCTGGAATTTTAAAACACACCAGGATGTAAATGCCTGAGGAGGAGGATAGATGTGATAAAGACATTTTAGTATTAGGAGTTGCAGAACTACTCCTCCACAAGAGAAGTTACAAAAGAGAATGAAAAGAATGATGTGTTCTGCCTCTTAAGTGAGTGCAACTAGACATCACCCAACAGGTGGTTCCCAAGCGCCCACTCGAGAATCAGCCAGTGTGGTCCCCCACCCACAATGGATGAGGATGTGCAGCTTGACTCAACAACCTGACTGGAATGTACATCCTTATCCTATGTCCTGAAGAATTGTGTGTGACTCTCTGAACGGTGAGCATTAGCTTCTAGCAAAAATGTTTCCAAAGATGGGGCAAATCCTATTAGCAGAGGCAGAACATAAATGTGACTGTATTACTATGGAATATACTGTGCCTAAGGGAATTCTGGTCACAAGCCAAAAGTTGGTCAAAAGTTAATACTGGGGCAACAGTTAGAGACAGGGTTCAACCTATATACCAAATTAGGTCTAACAGGTGTCTAGAAGTGCATTTTAGTAGTGCAGTTGCGGGGGGTTGTTTTTGCTACTTTCAGCCAGCCATATTCGAGACAACTTAGGTAAATGGGTAAAGATACAGCCTCATTTTTTCAAGCTTTCCTTGTCTGACCCTTCTTCCATCTGCCTTCCCCATTAACAACAGCAGAAACCCAGCATACAGAAAGCGTGGTCCCAGATCTTTGTTGTATTCTATGCCAGGTGAATTTAGTGTTCCTTATTAAGTGAAATCTGCTCCTTTCAAGAAGAAACTAGGAAAAGACAGTCCAAACCACCTGCATTAGTCACAATGGTCCATGCTCACAATTGGCAACAAGAAGTGCCCATTCCTGACTTGAGCACCATATTAAAAAAGGGATATGACCTGTGTTTCTGGTTCAATAAATAAAGGGAAAGTTCCAGGCTGGGCCATGCTTCATCATCTGCTTAGAACTCATCATCTGAGCTCAGGAGTAGGGTCTTCTCATTGTCACGAGCACCAGAGCTGCTGTGGGAGTGTGAGATCGTGTGACTGCCATTACGCCAAGGTGGTCCATGTTCTAGGGTTGACTGCTGAGTGTACTGCTGGTAGGCAGGGGAGAAATTGTGGATGGCATCCTGCACAATGTCATGGGGGTTCATGGTCTCCTTAAGGCTGCTAGAGATGCTCTTCATAGGGGCACAGCGGCCTAGAGAGAGAGAAATTAAGAATGACTGAGGATAGAAGTCTTCCTCTCCCCCCCCCCCCCGCCGCCCAAATATCCCATTAATGTGAGCAAAAGCTGCTTGTGGTGCAACTTTTGGCAGTTAACGGACTGGTTACACCAGCCTGGAGGCATGCTAAAGCAAAATGAGTGACATACAACATGGTGGCAACCCTGGGGAGGCAGCAGGAGAAAGAGATCATCACCTAGGCTGCAATGGGCTGCTTTCAAGGATCAGGAAAGGTTACACAACAGAAAGGTATAACTAGAGGGACAGAAAATCCGCTCAGGAGGAAAGGTAACTTATACTAAGTGGCTTGAGCAGCTTGTGGTCTGAAACAAGGGTAGGAGAAAGATTGCAAGAGAAAGGGAAAGAGGGACTCATGTCCAAAGTAGATCTTCAGTTTCTGCTGGCAATAGGAAGCAAAGATGGAAGTCAGATCAAAGTGGAAGTCACACTTTAGGGTAGGGAATGGAGAAGATGAGCCATTGCATACACCACATACCAGTGCAGAAACTGCTTCCAGATGTTACTAACTCTGTCCCAGGAAGCAATCTGATTGTAACTGGTACCAACTTACTCCAATACTTTTAAATTACTATAAAACATACAGTTTGGACAATGTATTGTGGATAACTTTTCTTTTAGCAGGTTGGGGGTGGATGGGTGACAAAACACAAGTATACTAATGGCCTAGTCAACAGATTGAAGACAATAAGTCAAATAAACCCCCACACACACACTTGAGACCCTCATGTGCAGCTGGAGGCTTCTTTAAAGTTTCTATCACAGCAATTTCCCTCTGCTGAAGAGGCAAGTCCCTTCTGCTTTAAAAACAACTTGGCTCTTTACTAACCAGAGCAGCTTAGACAAAAACTTAAAAGCCACCTCCCCTTTCATTCATGCTTCTCCTGAAGTACACATACGTGCATTTGTTATACCTAATGGTATGCACACAGGACAGATAATGCAGGGAGCTGAAAAGAGTCACAGTAGCAAATAGCGTCTCAACAAAGAGACAGAGAAACATGTCACCTACCATATGGCCCATATGATGGAACAGCTGCGCCAGACACCAGAGCCCAAAGCAAGGGAAAGAGGAAAGAGGGGGGAAAACAAGAGAGGAAGATATGGGAAACAACAGTCTGAAAAGGCATGTTATTCTCAGGCTCTCCACCAGGAAATTACCACAATATTAATCTCTATAGCAAACCAAGTACAATTACTATAAAATACAAGATTTTAGGGGAGACTGTCTGTAAAACTCTGCTACTTGGTTCTCCCCTGCCAAATATCTACAAGTGGGTTTCCTAGTCTATTCCATCTCAGCTATGCTCTGGACCTATTCCCCTTCCCCTAGTCCAGACAGACAGAACTGATACAGTGAACTTTGTTTACCATATCTAAGAAATGGCTCACCACCCCAAATTTTAGCATTAAGAGGAGGAGAAATGTATAGGAACATAATCACAGACTTTGTGTGCAGAAGGTCCCAGATTCAATCCCTCTAGATAGGGCTGGGAAAGACCACAAACTCAAACTCTGGAGAGCTGCTGCCAGTCAGTGTAGACAGCACTGAGCTAGGTAGAAGAACAATCTGACTTGGCATAAGCCAGCCTCCTGTGTTCTAAAACCATTACTTCCAAAGGGAAAACTTTTTATGCGGAAATTACTTCTATTCTTGCGTGCAGGGAAGGACTCTCAAGAGAGTGTCTCCCATAATGCAACAGAAGATCGTCTTTCAGCCTGTACAGCTAGGGAAAATGAAAACCAAATCAGGTGATGACCAGTGTGCCAATGTGGCAGATGGGAAAATGGTGTTCAGTTGCCCAGCTGAGGAATTTATACTGTGAACAAGCTCAGCTGGGAAATCTCCCTTCTTTCACCACAGGCCCAGCAGTAAGTACCCTGCCTCCATACCTTGCGCATCAAGACGCTTGTCTGCATAGACCTTGTATGTGAACGCATGGCGCAGAGCAATGGCTGCAAAGAACATTTCCACGCAGATGATGAAATCCTGGTAGCCAGCAGCCACGGTCCCCTTACCCACAGATACATTGGCTGAGTTGATCTTTGGGATTGCACCACACCTCTCCAGAATGGCCAACAGCATCCCTGAGCAAAGCAGAATCAAATTGTAAGACTTAAGGGAACCTCAGAACACTCCACAGAACAACATACTGCAAAAAGGCCCAGAGATCAGTGTAGATAAGAAGCTCTTTGTTGCCACTTCCTTGTTTTAATCTTTCTTTGTTGCAACATTTTATCATTTTACTCAGATTTTGTTTGTATTTTTCTTTCTTACGGTAACCTGTTTGGAGAATATTTGTTGAAAAGCAGGTTACAAATTGCCAGTCCAAATGATAATAATAAGTCTACACATAGGACACAAAAGGAGAATGGCTAAGTATGGGTATTTCAGAATACACAATATTAATAATTTTCATTTCTCGTACAAGGCAGAATCTGCATTTCACCTACAGCGAAAAGGCAACACTGATGAAAAGAATCCTAAACCAAATAGAAGAAAAATGTGTCACGTGTCATTAGGTTTTAATTGTCTCTCAGGCATTCCCAGTTAAATCTACTTGTGGATTAAAGGCATGTGTGCTTGTCTCACCTTGCCAGAATGACAGGAAAATGACAGACTTGACCATGAAGAATTTCAGGACAGGGCTGTAGGGACTGAGAAGTTCACGTGTGGCAAAGTAAAAGAGGAAGAGGGCATAGAGGGCCAGGCTGACAGAAATATTGTAAATTATCGTCACATAGAGATACCCATTGGTGACACTGTAAGGGAAGAAAATATGAATGCTCAGTTTCTCACATACAGTGTTTCTTAGCTCATGCAGTGCTTTAAAGACTTCTCCCTGCTCCCAGCTCCATCACTAAACAATGACCCAATGCCAACAGGGAGATTATACTACCATTACAACCAATTACAGCAACCTCCATTTCATACAACATACAGAGCTTTTCTACATTGAGAAAACATGGTAGTTACAGGGAAAATGTATGCAAGCCGGCACATTTGTGGGAATCTTTACCAAAGCTTTTCCTGTGACTGCAGAGGTCAGGGGGCCATGTTAATAGGCTCTTATTTGTATTTTGTTTCCAACTTCCTCCTCCAGTGTTTTGTGGCAGCATACCATATGTTTTGAATTTATACTCACAGCAATTCTGTGAAGGTGGCCCAAAGCAACTAGCTCAAGGTTTACCCTGGGAACTTTATAGACTCTGATTTCAAGGTTCTGAAGCCAAATCAATCCACCTTTTTGCAGCCATGACATTACTGCATTCTCCCAGTTCTTATGATAGGTAAGTCCTTCCTTTTCAGTTAGACTCCTAGTCCCTCACAGGACTGTCAGATAAGTGTTTCGTGACAAAGAAAACTCTATAATTTAGAAATAAATTATTTACTTACTCAAAGTCCCCATCCTGGTACTTGCCAAATGCCTGGAGGATGACTGTAATAATTGCCATGAGGGGTTTTACCACACAGAACTGCAGAGTGGCCTGGAAGAGAGTAAAAGGAGGAGGAAGGCAAGATGGGTATTGAGAAGAACAAATGACCACAACCTTCAGGCTTTGATCTCTAACCAGTCAGTCCCATTCATCTAACTGACCAAAAAAAGCCGCACCATCAACTTGGAATTATGACTGTCATTCTGCTTCTTGAACAGGGATGATAATCTGTTCATTAATTAGCCATGTTCAGAGTAAAAATATGTTTAAACATGGTTTCTTCTGTGTCTAAAAGCTGTCCAAGAGGCCACCCAACCAAAGGCTGGGTGAATGGACATCTGTATGCAGACTGGACACAACTCTTATTTCTCCTTTTCGTATAATACTAAGGAAGCTGTTGGGGTTCGGAACTGATGCCTGAAAGTGGTAATAAACTGTAGGACACCTAAGCATATTGAAGCACAATCCAGACAAGACATACGTGCTCCTGGTTGAGAGTGAGAGGGACACAGGGTGAAGCCATGGATAATGGTAACAAGAGCGGGGTCACCTCAGTGGCTGCAGCAATATTGTGGCACACAGCCCAAGAATTGTGGTGACCCTATCTCTGGTGGGTCAGTAAAGGCATTTTTTAATTCCAGGAGACTTTTCCCTAAGTATCTGCTGTTGAGAGAGAGAGAGAGTATTCTGCAGTCTGTGCCTTTGTTACATTTTTATTGTAACATTTTAATGTATTTTTACTGGGTTGTGCCCAATTAAGTCCTACTCAGAGTAGATCCATTGAAATCACTGATTTCAATGGGTCTACTCTGAGTATGAGTTAGATACAACCTACTGTATTTTAAGCATATATTCATTGTCTTGCATGATTGTGATTTTATACTTTTGTAAGCCACTCTGAACAGTATACAGTCACTAAAAATATGGGATAGAAATCTCTAAATAAATAAATAAATATATATATATTTGAAGCTCCCTCTTGGCAAAGGAAATGGCACATTTGCTTTCATAGACAGATTGTGAGCTAGGCATCATGTTCAGAGGAGGAAAAGCTAGTGGAAGATTCTGGGATTTCAGCAGGAATCTCCTGCTTTGTAGAAAGCACTCAAGCAGGAAGAACCAGCCTTGCGGTCATATGAAAGAGAAAGCCAAAAGAGGGGGAAAGATTGCTTGTGATAAGATGCTCTTGGGTGGTGACCATAAAACTTCAATGAGATTAAAAAATCCCAGCACAATCCATCTGATGAGTCACTGCCATGATGTGAACTGGAAAAGGTCAAGCTAATTGTTAAACTTGCTTCTAAGCTTCCTCTTCTCCATTCTGGGGGTTGTTTAATCATTTTCCTGCAGCCCAATCCCACAAACTTTTATTTTTAGACACTTCCTGGTGAAGAAAGTGTTAAGACATTACAGGGACAGCATGTGGGTGATGTGACCCAGACAGTTACTCTGTCACTGGGCAGAAGTCTAGGGGAGGACAAACAAATCATCAAAATGTGGTATGGCGCTAGCCCTCTTCTGAATCATATCTCAGACACATTTAAGCTCCTGTCCAGTGGCCTGAGAATGTCACATTTGCCCCAGGCAAACAGAATGCTAGCAGTAGGAAATGTAGCTCCTTCTTCACTGGAGTGGAACATTGGGGAGAAGGGGAGAAAGTGTTCTCTGATCCAGTCAACCCTGTTGTTTCAACTGCAATTTTCAGAGAAACATTATGTTCTGCAGATGATGATTGAATTTATATACCGCCCTATACCCTGAAGTCTCAGGGCAGCTCACAGAAAATATTAGCAATCCCAATACACTTCTTTATTATCACCTCCACAGCATTCAGAAAAGACAGCCTCCTGGGTTGTAAATATGGACAAAATAATTCCAAAACATTTGCTCTTGGATCTCTCAAGGACATACTGCTGTACATATACAAGCACTCTAACATTGACACTGAAATTGCTCATGGTAAATGAAGTTCCAAAGTTAACATATTTTCACCATGCACTCCCAATCCCAGGCCTGTAGCCAGACATATGATGGCGGTGGCAGAGACACCATTTACAAATCCTTCAAAATCTAAAATGCTGGCAGTCAACAACCATGTATCTAGACCGTGCTCTGTTTAATATATTTTGTACTGCTTCCTTTTAAAACATTATTTGATCTATAATATAATTTTAATAAAAATAGGAATTCACACTAAAAATAAAAAGAAATTGAAAATAGCAAATATCCAAGAGGTTGTCAGGTAGCACAATGCATTAGCATTCACTGGCCAGGCTTCTGGAAGGGAGGAGAAGCTTTACTTCTTACTAAGCAAGAGAGAATACACTGCCTGCACATTTCCTCCTTGCATCTCCATGGGTAAACAAGACTAGACTAGACTTGACTAGACTACACTACACTACACTACACTACACTAGACATCCATCCATCCATTCATTCATTCCTTCATTCATTTATCTGAAAATTCAAGGAAGAGGCCCGGACTATCCTAGTGGGAATGAACAATTCTTTGGTAATGGACATTCATTCTGATGCCAAATTTCCATGCGGAATAGATGGACCCGAGAAACAGTAGTGTTTTGAGAGAAGACCTGTCTTCTGTGAGTCCTACTGTACTACTATTAAGGGAAGGGCAGGGGAAAGAGAAACTTTATCAATAGGATTGTGTAGTAAAAATGTATCAAGAACCATTGTCACTTCCTCCCGACAGTTTACACAGAGCTGGCTGCAGCATATCAGGTAATTTATTCTCTACAATTAAACTGGGAGAGGTTCCCTTGGTGAAGAGTTGTGGCTCATCCTTGACTGCTTCCTCTGCAAGACCCAAGTAGGAGGACTCATATGAGCAGCATGTGACATTTAATCACATACAAGAACCTGTTGCAACTAATGATAATCATGAGGTACAAACAAATTATCAGGACAACTGAGTCAGATATTTACACGTCTTGATGCAAACAAAAAAAAGTTGCTCGTTGCCTAACACCATACACAGACTAAAAATAACCCAAGTAGTATCAGAGTCACACCCCCACTTCCAAAAGCATTAGATCACACAATGTTCCCTCACCCAAGCCAAATTTGAACCCTTGGCCACATCGCCTCTTTTTCTACACTCAACTATTTCTAGACTCAGCATGAACTGAAGGAACATTCAGCAGCTTTTTCTAATCTGACGCTAAGGTTATATTCTCCCTATGTCTTTTACTGAGTTTCCTTCTATACTTGCCATTTGTATCACAATAACACAATTGTACACCAGTCTTCACTCACAATCTCCTTTACCATTTTTTTAAAAAGAGATTATCAATATTTGTACAGATGATTTTTTTCTATTGCATCTGGGTGACAATGTGCTTTAGGTGTTAACACTGCCTTTGCTCTCAAATGAAGTTTTATAAAAATGGGATAAATCTGCTGGGGGGGGGAGTAGTGGAAGAAGACAATCAGCGCATAGCTCACAATGTGCTGGTGCCGATTTACAGGGACATGAGGCAGAAAGGGCTTCAGTTACACCAAAAGTGATGGGTACATACCTGAGGTATATAAAACTATATAAAGAACAAGACACTACAGATCACAAGGTCAGATAAACAGGTATATCCATGACAGAGCAATGCAGTGTGGTTGAAATAGCCCAAATTAATAATGTAGTAAAAGTTACGAAATGTGAACAAACCATGCATACTTTCTACACTCCCAGTTAAACTGACATTGCGGCAGAGTCAATAATGCATCTAGGTACTGATACTTTATTTGATGCTAGCATTCTTGTTGTTACTGAATCAATTCTCTCTCTAAGTATTTTTAAGCTCATACAGGTTCTTTTACTGCAGAGCTGGGCCTTGGCTGAAAAGTGAAGTGGCAAGTTACGTAAGAAGGGCAAGTGAGATTTCAGTTCAATGTTTCCTGTTCCATAGCTCACACAAAACTTCCCCTAGGCTACAAGGCTAAGTGGAACTAAATTCTTCTTTACTTCTGTCTCCAATTTTCAAAAGGTTGGCAGAATTGACAGACCTAGAAGTGATTTGTGTGTTCTGTACAGATAAATTAAAGAGAACAAGCAAAGGGTGGGGGGGTGGCAGGGGGCACATACTCATCTTAACTGACATCCTCACTCACACTTTCAGCAGTGTCCTAAAACTAGTTTAAGGGAGTCCCTGCAGATTCTACTACCGAATAATCCTATGGAGAGAAGCATCATGTGGCAGCATCTAACTCTCCAATCAAGTTCTCTCCTTCCATACCTGCTTACAAAATCTCAGAAATCCAATGGAATACGTCTTTCCCCATAAGCAACAGGTTCCATACATACAGCTGGACCTAAAAGCAAGATAGCAAGACAGCTGATCAGAAAATAATTAGATTTCATCTTTAACTTTATTATTATTATTGGGTTTTATAAACAAGAATAATGTTATACAAATAAGTATACCAAGTTTGCTCATGGCATTTGTATATCACAAAAATAGCATAATAAATGTGGAAAAATATATACAACATATGTTTCATTATTAGTGGGCAATGTATAAATAGATTTCATTTAAGATTGTTTTATAAATAAGGCGTATAAGTATTTATGATGTTTGACAGCAGTTTAACTGTTTTTTCATGCTGATATCTAGAATGGATATATAATATTAAACACTTTTTAAAAGAAAAGGATCAGACAGAGCACCTCAGGGTATGACAATAACATCTCTTTTAGTCTTCAGAGAAAGTGGAGTTAAACAACCCACTGACAAACAAACAAACAAACAAACAAACAAACAAACAAGCAGGCACACAATTTGTTCCCCACATTTTCTTCCCAAATTGCTTTCTCCACGCATTTATGCTAAATTACAGCTGCAAGATTCAACCCACCTCCCACTGATGTTAATAGGTGTTGCTGCTTCCCAAGTACTGCAGATTTCGCAATGTCTTGTTGTGTGAAGAACAATTGTGGTTAATTTGAAATTAGGACAGAAATGCCTTAGGGCAACAACAAAACTATTGCCAGTATGACTAAAAGGAGCTTGGAGGAGAACAAGGAAAATAAGGCTGGAAGTGCAGTTCACGTGACCAAATGGTCTCAATCAGACTGGTGTGGAAATTGGTAAACTAGATGAAGGGGCCTTATTCAATGTTAAAGCATACTCATCTCACTGAAGAGTTTCCAGTGGCAGAGGCAGAACAAGTGCTATGATAGATGCCAGCCTGCACTCAAGTCTTTCCCACCAAAGAGATAAAGAAGAAAGATTAGATAGATAGATAGATAGATAGATAGATAGATAGATAGATAGATAGATAGATAGATGATAGATAGATAGGACACACAGCATACTCACTCAATGGACTTCCCTCTAATCTCAGACATGATGGAGCTCTCTCCGCCAAGGTACTCATAGCAGAGGCTAAGGAAGTTATAGATTACAAAAGCTGCAAAAAGAGATGAAATCAGCAAAAATCACTAAATATACTCCAAGGGTTTCAAAGGATGTTGTTTAAAAGGAACCACGGGGGGGGGGTGGTTCTAGCTCAGCAATTCAAAAAGAATCCCACAATGTACTACCAGATCTGTCATTTGATTAAAGACATTTTTATTGATCGGCTATTTGAGTTTATTTGAATAAATTAAAATCTGCATACGAATACAACAGCAAAAAAGGGGGGACCCCACTGTTTTTAGAATGTACACAAATATGTCACAGTCAAAACCACCTCAGAAGAGGTCTTCTGTCCTATATGAGAGGAAGAATGCTGCTTCTAAGATATTCTCTGCTATCCATGATTTTTGTAGGTATCTCATCTTGAAGTACTTATTTTTGTAAGTACTTTATCTTATTTATTTTATTTAAAAAATCTGCTCCAATTCACTGGGGATAATTTTTTATTTATCAAAAGGTTCTCAGTTGAGAGAGGAATGATGGGCTGTGCCAGGATGCAGGCAAGATAATTTGCTTCATATACATAACAGGAATATTATGCAATAAATTACTTATAGTGCAATCCACTTGCAATGCTTCCACTCCAGACCACAAATATTCTTTTTACCATTCCAGCTGCAAGCCATTCCGCCATGCTTATCTATGGAAGTTGTTCAAAGCATTTTATATGTCATTTCTAGACTCACAGTGCTCCCTAGTGTCATTCTGGGACATTGATGGTGTACTAGATGGGGATGTTCCCATGACAATTCAGTCATGCAACTTGCTTGTGCTATTTCTGTTTACTTTGAAGGTCTCACATGCAAATATTGACCAGGTGCCAAACTGCTAAGCTTGACCAAGGCGATGACAAACACACACTCCCTAGTATGAACCAATGGGTTTCCAGCTCTGTAATCACATTTTTAAAAACTGAATGATAAGCTTGGTACTCAAAAGCTCTGTTCATGTGAGGATCAGTACCAGATTCTTCTTGCCTACAATATCACGAACTGCGGCTGAACCTCACCCATGAGAATACACTAGGACAGCTGTGAGCGGAGTTATTCCTGGTTCAAAATCTCAATGCAGCTGTGAATTTTAACAGCACTTGTGGAAATGAGATGACTTCATTAGGACTACAGCAGGAGAGGAAAGGTTTAATACTTTTTACTTTGAAGGTATCCAATTCAAATACTGCCCAGGCATTAAGATTACCTAGTCCAGTTGAAAATTAAAGCCTGTGCTATTAATTTTGTGTTTTTTTTAAACCCAGCGTGGTTACTAAATAAACATTTAGTGTCACATCTACTTTGTTACTATGAGTTACAAAGGTTCTGTTTTGGTGAGAGTAAGAGTCTTGCCTTTTATGAACTGCTCTTCTGTTGTCCTGTGGTGGTATTCAAGATCCAAGTCAAGTGTATTCCTTTTTCCCCCCTTCTGAACTGCTTTTTGACTTTGATAAAAGTCAAAGATCATAATTCTAACCTAACTTTTTGTCTAGAGTTCCATTTGGGTATTATTTACTCCCATGCTCAATGGCACAGAAGCATGCAGCGAGGCCATACAGAGTACTCCAACCCCCAACATCCCACACTCTTCTTTTGATATCCACATATGCAGGGAAAACACTTTCACACATACAGGGCAGCTGTCTACCAACTCCACCTGGTACGCAGGCTGAGACCCTACCTGCCCGCGGATTGTCTCGCCAGAGTGGTGCATGCTCTAGTTATCTCCCGCTTGGACTACTGCAATGCGCTCTACGTGGGGCTACCTTTGAAGGTGACTCGGAAACTACAGCTAATCCAGAATGCGGCAGCTAGACTGGTGACTGGGGGCTAGACTGAGACCACATAACACCGGTCTTGAAAGACCTACATTGGCTCCCAGTACGTTTCCGAGCACAATTCAAAGTGTTGGTGTTGACCTTTAAAGCCCTAAACGGCCTCAGCCCAGTATACCTGAAGGAGCGTCTCCACCCCCATCGTTCTGCCCGGACGCTGAGGTCCAGTGCCGAGGGCCTTCTGGTGGTTCCCTCATTGCGAGAAGCAAAGCTACAGGGAACCAGGCAGAGGGCCTTTTTGGTAGTGGCGCCCGCCCTGTGGAACGCCCTCCCATCAGATGTCAAAACGATAAACAACTACCTGACATTCAGAAGACATCTTAAGGCAGCCCTGTTCAGGGAAGTTTTTAATGTATGATATGTTAGTGTTTTTTGGTTTCTATGGAAGCCGCCCAGAGTGGCTGGGGAAACCCAGCCAGATGGGCGGGGTACAAATAATAAATTATTATTATTATTATTATACAGTTGTACATACAAAGGCTTCACTAGAATCTGGAATCCAAATTGTTCCAGATCCCAAGGAAGGCTTCATGCATACAATTACATCTGTAAGGAGGTGGTCCTTACAGATGTCCATGCAGTGTATGTGGACTCCAGGGAAGAGTGTGGCCTGCTTGTTGCTCTCATGTTGTTCTACACAACAGTTAATAAAACCTAAACAGGGTATATCATGTCCCCAAAAATGGTTACTGGCATACCATTCCACTCCAGGTCACCAAAATGAAACTTGGTATGGCATAATGGTTAAAGAAGAAGCACTAACTAAGCTCACTGGGTGATCTCCAGCCAGTCACTATCTCTCAGCCTATCCTCAACCCAAACTCAGTGCCACAATCATAAGGGTTTATTTGGATAAAAGGTTCCAGAAAATATTAATTCAGTAAAAACTATCAGACAGCTTCTTGTACCCAATTCCATTCACAGAATTCTATACGAACTAATCACTTATATAATGCATGTCTTATTACACAGAGTGAAGTCTTGCTCCAGTCAACAATCTCCCTGCATCTCCAGATGTCTACAAAACAAGTTCAGTGCTTTTGTGGGAGGAATAACCAAAAGCACACTGCTGTTCAAGAGGTTTCCGCCCTGCCCTCTGATACAGGAAAGGCTCATTATAGTAGGAGCTGCCTATTCTGGGACCTTGTTTAGGAGAAGATGAAATTAGGTGGAAGAGAACAAAAGCGTTTCCAACATTCCTCAAGCTCCTCATGGAAGTACATTTAGGTTGCACACGCACACCTATGCAAATTTATCTTGGAATAAGTCCCATTTAACATGCACTTTCTTCAAAGGAGACATGCATAAGATTGTGCTGAAGTCTCTGGCTAGTGCTCTACTGCCAACATTTCCAGTTGAAGATGTTACTGTATTTAAATTCTCAAATAAGACTACCAACTAAAAAAAAAAAATCAAACACTAAATGCCACAGATTCCAGCTGTGTATTTTCTTTAACGTTTTCCAAGGGCAGACTTTCCCAAGGGAAAAATCTGTTTTGAAATGAAAGGAGATTCCCACCCCCTCCTGTTTTCTGATTTTCCTAGACATAGTTTTAACTATAGAAAGTACGAAAGCAGGGAGGGGGACCCAAACCTATTTGCATACAGGCCATCAAGCTGGCAAACTTTAGAATGTGGGCTGACCCTCTGAGCAGATGTTGTCATGTTTGCAAACTCCCTAGGCGAGGCAAAGGGGATAATAGCTGTTGCTAGGAGATGAATTTCACAGAGCAGCAGGCTTCCTGCTACGCAGCTACGCCTTTATATACACACGCAGCAAAGGCAGAGGAAAGGGAAAGCCAGGCCAAACAAAGATGGCCTCTGGATTGTGTGTGTGTGCATCTGCCATCTGTTAACACATCCCAATGTATTGTCATAGGTGTGAAAAGCCCAGTGATCCCCTAACCACAGTTGTTCATGAGCAAATATTGCACTAGTATCATATAAAGCATATTTTCATATGGCTATGAAACTCAGCAGGAGAAAAAAAATCTCACAAGATCCACAGACTAAAACATTTTAAAGTACAGCAAGTGCTGCAGGATAATTTTTTTGTTTCACCCAAATCAGTGTGTTCTACCTAAGTAACCAGAAAAAGAATATTTTCAATTTATTTAAATAGGAATCTTGTTGAAGGTTGTTTTTTAGTTAAAAGAAACTCTGCAATGAATGCATCTGCACCATAATCAGTTTAAATTTGTCACATGCTCTCTAGCATTGGGGCAGGAAATCTAGTCATGAGAGCATTCACATATCTGTCCTTCTGAACAATTTCAGGAGATAGTATTAAATAAGCCATAACTGCCCTAATTTAAAAACAAAACTGTATTTACATGTTTTTATGAAAACCAGAGGAATGCAAAAGTCTTTTTTCACATGCTTCCTAGAAAGCATCTTTCAGGTATCTGGGATCAGTAGCTGGACAGCTGCAGAATTCTACCAGTAGTCCAAAACTTTTGGTGGTCCCAAGTTGGCGAAGGCTATCCTAGAGCAACTGCTCAGGTTGATTTAGTAGTAATCTGCTGAGAGAACTCACTCATACATTCTCTTTTCTTCTTTGATGGAAAACTACTGGCATAATCTATTGAGTGAATCACCAGAACCAAAGGAGTCGTACCTATTTGCATGGTTTCTTGAGTTCTTGTATCTGGGCTTCTGAATTCTGTGTCAATATTATTTTTCATCATCTGAATCTTCTTATATGATGGGGAGAATGTCCACAGATTCTAACAACATATTTCATTTATTCCATCCCTATATATTCGTTCATATACAGATTCCTTGTCTGCTGTAGTGAGCAATATCTATAGCCAGCAGCTTGGCCTATCATTCCATCATTGCCATAGACTTCCTGCCACTTCTCCATATTTAGAACACAACCCCATATTTAACTAAGACCCTTGTGTACGGGTACTTCCTTCAGGCTCACATACAAAGCACCACCTTCTCTCTAGCCTGCTTCCATGCCTTCCAGCACCTTACCTTCATAGCAATCCCGCACTGTGCCAAAGTAAACATAGTACTGGTCATTGGTGAAGAAAAGGAGGCTGAGCCATGAGTCGACAGCATAAATGGGCACAATGAAGAGGATCCGGACAATATAGCGTTGCTCATTGGGGCAACTGTAGCAACGAAGGTGCATATAGATCTGGATGAAAAAGATGGTGAACAGGATAATGTCAAATTAGAACAAAAGTAAGCTAAGGAAGAAGAGGAGTGATAATGGGAATTTAAGAATGCAATGCCATACACAACATATAAGCACTTTTTTGCTCTCATAAGGCTTTCTTACTGAGTTTATAGCTTAGTAGGATATATTTACTTGGTTTTTGCACTGTAAGGTCTATGTTTACCCTACATCTGCTCTTTATCCTTGAACAGGAACAAGGGATAAAATTCATTTTCAAAGTAAGGTAGCTTATGAATATATAAATTGCTATAAAATGTAATGAAATGAACATTCTGTACTATATTTACTGTAAAAGAAAAAGCAACTGTCCCACAGTATTTTTTCTATCCAAATGATAAGAATAATTTTAGTTTTTTTTAAAAGTACTAGGCATCTGAATGATATACTTTTCACTTGAGATTTACTTATTTTAATTACAAACTCATTTGGTTTCTAAATGTAATGTGCTGAAGCCGTGAAATGGCTACAGTACTGAAGCTATCCTATGCTATCGTTCACATTCATTATCCAGATGTCTACATTTCACAGCTTCAATATATTACTTTTAGAAACCAGATTTAAGCACATACACATGACATATATGGCTCGTATGTTTTCAGTGCAATACAGTAGCAGAGCCTTCTGTAATGTCATGATCCCACACAAAAATAAAGTTTTTGGATCTATAAATATAAGACAACCAAAGTGAGGACCAGCCAAAAACACAACTTTAATCTGCAAAGACATATAAGACGTCTCTCAAATACAAACTCTATTGTGCTTGCTAATAACAGAAGAGTACACCAATAAGTTTTGCAAACGAATCAAATCTCATCTTTAAAATGTTTTGTTTTATATGGTAGCCTGCCTATCCTACAAGTTAAAATCTTTACTGACTAGAAACAGACTGGATGGAGAGTGTATTAGAATGTTGGTTATGAACAGTAATTTTGAAATAGTGCTTTTCTTGGCCCACAGGGTGTTTCCAGATAGCAGCAGCACCAGGAGTGCAACCACAGGAAATTCTTCAAAAAAGGAGGCATTTCCTAGGGTTTTTTTTCTTTTGCAGAGGGAAAAGTTTTGTATGAGTATGACTAGTTGGCTTCAATAGAACACCCTAGCTGCTCTTTGTCTTATAATCTAGTTTTACACAGCCATCATATATAATTCAGTGTAAAGATATTGAGCATTTTTAGTCAGCTTCGTAACAGAGCTCAATTGATCTTTGCAAGCCATTCTGGAGGCCTTTTTCAGTTGAAGAGATACATAAAAATTCTTCAGATACATAAATAAGCATGCAAGCAATCTACGGAGTCAACCTTACAGCTGTAATGCATGAAACAGTTATACTACTAAGAGAAAAGAGTCCTGCTACATCAGACCAAAAGTTCATCTAATTCCCAAAAGAAGCCAGTCAGCAAGATGCCTTGGGGAAACTCACAAGCAGAACATGAAGGCATCAGCCCTCTTATTCGTCCCTAACATCTGATATGTTGCCTGTTATTGCAGAGGATTCACTTAGCTATCAATTCTAACAGCATTTTGATAGATTCATCCTCCATGGATTTCTCTCCTTTAAATCCATCTACACTAGTGCTCATGACTACGTTCTGTGTCCATGAATTCCATAACAACAGAGATTGTAAGACTAGAACTCTCCCTTTGTACACTCTGGGGGCCAACTGTTTACACACCAAGATGGCGCTATTCCAACAGACATGCAGCAGATGACCAATTACTGTATTTTTCGCTCTATAAGACGCACCAGACCACAAGACGCACCTAGTTTTTGGAGGAGGAAAACAAGAAAAAAATATTTTGAATCTCAGAAGCCAGAACAGCAAGAGGGATCGCTGCACAGTGAAAGCAGCAATCCCTCTTGCTGTTCTGGCTTCTGGGATAGCTGCACAGCCTGCATTCGCTCCATAAGACGCACACACCTTTCCCCTTACTTTTTAGGAGGGAAAAAGTGAGTCTTATAGAGCAAAAAATACGGTAATGTTCTAAAGAAGAAGAACTAATAAGATTCATTGTTGCTGCCCAAGTAAATGTCAGGTAAGCTGCTATTCTGATTCATAAAGTAGCTAATCCCCTTTTGAATCTCACACAGCCAGTTTCATTATATAATGCTCTGTAGCTCTCCAATGGATAGTCACTTATCTATTCATTAACCCACAGGTGTTAAACACAGGTTGATGAAATTGTAGGGTTTGCATGTGTTACTCATCATACAAGGACACTATTAGACAGCATTACAAAGAGGATGCTAAATTTGGTTTGTACCGTCACCCACCAACCTGATGAAATACAGCAGCCAAGTCTTACAGCAGAAAAGCTGGCGGCAGGAGGAGAGGAAAATGCCTCTGCCGCCGCCTCCTCACCGTGCAACCAGGTTCGCTGAAATCATTTGTACAGCGTGTTCATCATCATGACAGACATTTTGGGCAGAGATTTAAAATGATAAATGGCTGTTTATTCCTTGTGCTAAGAACAGGCAGAGCTATGAAATTGGAAGATAACGCCAAAGGGTTATTAAACCCCATGAATCATGGCACGTCATCATTACATAGCCTTCTCCCACCCCCACCCCAATGAAACACACTTAATTAAATGTACATCATTCCTAAGCCAATCAACTGCATTACTATGAGGGAAGTGTGTTGTCTGCATACCTCTGAAGTTGACGGACTAATTACTACTTAGGATTCTGGAATAAAGGCCCCAGGGCCTATCACAGCAATCCACCCCATAGTATTAGCAGTCTGACAGGAAAGATGCTTGATCTTCTATAGCTTTGACATTGCCCTGCTTTTCCCTACAAGTTACTGCCTAGATTTATTGTTAGGCAAGACATGGGCACCATGAACTTAATGGCGAGCTGAAGAGACTAATTTGTAGGCAGCTTCCTGGCAGCCGTAGCCTTATGTACATGCTGGCACTGTCTGAACAGCTCTGAGGTTTGCTTGTCTCACGCACAATGGGATGGGACAGCAAAGTCCTGCATTCCCCCCACCCTCCATATTCTAGCTGTTTTTAGCCACATCATTTCCACTCTCACTACTGACTCATCGCACCACAGCAAATACCTGACAAACATATATTCTACCTGATAAACATCTGTATCACAACTAAAGTAAAGACGCACTCTCCTCTCCTTCAAGTTACATGGGGGCTTGTTCAATGGTGTTAATCCATAGGTGCACCTGTATACATTGTGCAAATGGAGTTGGAGATTGCTCATGTATGCTACAGGCCATAATATTGCATAAAGTGATCTGTAGCTTAAAACAGTAGTAGCAGTAACCACTTTGGGCAACAAGCTCCATCCACTCTACATGATCTAATGATGGCAGAGAGTAGAACAGGTAAGGCTACAGCAAGCTTAACTGTAGTCAGCACAGTAAATTTAACAGCTCTCTCTCTCTTTCTCAGGCTGCAGTAGAAAAGGTGCCTTTACAAAGTACCATTCAAAATGCTAGAAGTATTTTATTTTGCTTACCTGATGGCAAGTAATAAGCAAAGCAGTCCACACGAAGAAACCTGAGATGGCCTGGGCAGCTGTAGTCATTAGGAATACTGGTTGCTCCACAGCAGTGGGAGTGCCAACCTCAGACATCCAGGATAAGTTGGGGGCTGCAGCAGGAGTGCTGGCTGGGGAGCCCAGCTCAGGCACAGACATGACTCCAGTCACTACGATCATCATGTCCTCAGAGTTGTGGGTCCTTCAGATCTAAAGAGGAATTTTATAGAGAGAGAGAGACAGAAAAGTTTCAAAATAGCAGAAACAACCTATCATAGCCAGAACACCTCACAGGTATCCCAGAGTTTTGCTAAACATTTCTGTCAAGTGTAAAGGCCTTCAGTAGCAAAGGTAAACAGGAATAATTTGGGAGAAATCGATCATGTTCCTATGGTATCAAAACACAGCTACTCTTTAGTCACTGAACAGTCAGAAAGAAGGTCAGACATGTGAAAAGCAGTTCTAAATTTAAATTGCAGAGAATTCTGGAACACTGCCTAAAACAATCGTGCATTTTTGATACTCTATTAACACATTCAATTTTATTCCTTTCTTAAGTGGTTATACAAAGAGTTGCAATAAGTTTTTTCAAAAACATGGGGCACAACATTTTAAGGTGACTGTTTTGAGACCGCAGGAAGAAGCTGGCTGTTTGTGCATCTAGTGATCTCTTCTCTCAAGTCACCCCATGAAGCAAAAACTTCATACAGAACAGAAGGTAGTAAAAAGCACCAATACTTGATAGAAATGTATTGGCTTTACATGGCATATGTGTGCCCAACCAATATATAGATGTGCTAGCCTGGTACTGACTTAAAACCTCCCGTCTGACTCTGATTGTTCTGACAGAATCAGAAGTACAACTGAGCAGAAAAAATCCAAACATTTATGGATTAAATGTTCATTATCATTAGCTACGCTCATTATGCAAATCCAAAAACTGACAAAGTGTCAGCAGTGAAGAAGATCAAGTAGTCTGGAAATGAGATCATAAGCAAGTACTCTTGTCTCTAAGAAATGGGGGGATGAACTGAAAAGCCAATAGGTAAATTATCTAAGTTGTTAAACTGAAATTATGAAGCACAACTATGCATGAATTACAAAAGTGATACACACAGCAGGAAATTTTTTTGGAGAACCAAGTATTTCTATATGAAGTCTTTTCATTTATCACAACCAGACCAGTAGACTATAAAAAGAATCAACATGTGATTTTGTTTTCCTCTGGCCTTACAAGAAAAGAGCAAATAAGGTAAGCACGTGGAGAGTCCCCTTTCAACATAGATCTTTTGATTGTTCTAGCTGGGCCAGCCACCATTCTAGTTACATAACAATTCCTACTTCAGTTTGTTTTAATACATCATTCTCATTGCTGAAATATCCACCCAGTCTGAATATATGATAAAAATACCCAATGGTAAAAATACTTTACATTCTGCAGGGAACACAAAGCTATTTTGAAAAGAATGGAGACTGACAAATCCCCATAGTGCACAAAGAGCAAGGAGATAGTATATAGGCCAGTGGTTCCCAAATAGGGGTCCGCGGAACACACCCAGGGGGTCCGCAGCCCCATCCCTTGCCTCCCCCCCCACTAAATTTTTGTCATTTTTGCACAGGTAATATCACAAATCTTATGGTCTGTTTTAGCACTGTGTGATTTTTCAATATATTGGCCAAAATCAGTTTTGAAATTCCACTGTGATAACGATTTTGACCTGGCAATCAATATGCAGCAATATGTTGCTTCTTGAGCAAGGGAGAGCAGGGCAGCTGATTTCAAGGTACCGCCAATATGCTGCTCATCTGAGCTGCCTTCCCTCAGGAGGGAAAACAGGACAGCAGATTGCAAGGTGCTGCCTTCCCCTCACACTGATGGAGAACAGGGCAGCTGATGGCCCTCACTTCAGGGCACGGTGGCACTACCTTCCCCTGGCACTGAGGCGAAGCAGCTTTTCTCAGTCAGCAGGAAAGCAACAGCAGCCACAGTGGATGTGCATCTTCGCTGGCTCAATGGCTTGATGCACCCTCCCCCATCTCCATCCCCTCCCACTCAAACCATGCAGTGGAGGTGATTCTGCTTCCTCTCCTCCCTGCACCCATCCAATCTCCGTGACTGCTTCTTCCTTCATCTGCAGGCACCCTACCCACCTCTGTTGCTGCTCCTTCCCTCATCCCCACGCCTGATCTCCAATTTCAGACATTGTAATATATCGGAATATTGTGATGTTTAGCTGCTGATATACAGTGGTACCCCGCAAGACGAATGCCTCGCAAGACGGAAAACCCGCAAGACGAAAGGGTTTTCTGTTTTGGAGGCGCTTCGCAAGACGAATTTCCCTATGGGCTTGCCATCGCAAGACGAAAGCCATAGGGAAATGCTGGGCGTCGGGAGCAAAGACTTTCGCCCACAGCCGGCCTTCAGAAGAGGACCTTTTGCTCCCCCCCGCCTGCCTTCCCCCGCCTGCCGGGGCGATCTTAAAATGCTGGCGGGCAGGCGAGCGAAGCGTCTAGCGCCGACCCCCAGCTATTTTAAAAACTCCAAAGGGACCGCAGGAGAAAGTCTCTGTCCTGGGGAGTTTTTAAAAATCGCTGGGGTCGGGGAGCGAAGCGTTCTGCCGACCCTCAGCATTTCTAAAATCTCCCCGTCCCGGACACGTGCAATTTAAAATGCGGGTCCCGGGAAGGTTTTAAAATGCTGGGGGTCGGGAGCGAAGCGCTGCCGACCCCCAGCATTTTAAAATCTCCCCGTGTCCCGGGAGGTTTTAAAATGCTGGGGTCGGGAGCGAAGCGCTGCCGACCCCATTTTAAAATCTCCCCGTGTCCCGGGAAGGTTTTAAAAGCAATTTTTAAATCTCCCCCTGTCCCCCGGGACACGGGGAGATTTTAAAATGCTGGGGGTCGGCAGCGCTTCGCTCCCGACCCCAGCATTTTAAAAAACGCTGTTCCGAAGGGGGGGGTGGGGACACCTGCCCCAGCCCGCCCACTTCGGAAAACTGTTCCGAAGTGGGGAGGGGGGGCGGGGACACCTGCCCCAGCTCCCCCACTTCGGAAAGCTGTTCCGAAGTGGGGAGGGGGGGCGGGGACACCTGCCCCAGCCGCCCCACTTCGGAAAGCTATTCCGAAGTGGGGGCGGGGGGGCGGGGACACCTTCTGAAGGCGGGCAGGGGGCGAAAGTCTTTGTCCCCCCTGCCTGCCTTCCCAGGGGCTTTTAAATCGCCCCGGACAGCGGAGAAGTCCTCCGCTGTCCCAGGGTTTTTTAAAATGCTGGGGGTGGGAAGAAAAGCCCTTGTCCCCCCCCCAGCCTTCAGAAGAGGTCCGGGGACAGACTGTCCCCGGACCTGGTCTGAAGGCGGTTTCCCTAGGAACGCATTAATTGATTTTCAATGCATTCCTATGGGAAACCGTGCATCGCAAGACGAAAAAACCGCAAGACGAAGAGACTTGCGGAACGAATTAATTTCGTCTTGCGAGGCACCACTGTATCACAATGTTGAAAACCAGATATTGCTCAGCCCTCGTCTGTTTTTTAATATACCTAAAACCCTTTGCTTATTAGGGGCTACCCCACATTTTGTTCAAAAAATTGCTCTGCAGAGGTAACTACCATAGAGTTATCAAAATTTTCAAAAGTAGGGGGTCTGTGGCTTGGCTTTTGAAAAATAGGCGGCCCTCAGTAATTAGCTAATTGGGAACCACTGGTATAGACCACTGTTACCAGATTTGGTGCCCTCCAAATGTTGTTGGACTCCCAGCTCCCATAAACCTCAGCCACATGGCCAATGGTCAGGGATTATTGCAGTCGAAAGCAAACTCAAAAGGTCTGCATTCGCATGAGAAGTGGGGTTTGAGGGGAGATCTGTGGAAATGCTAAATATAATATGAAGACTGCACTTGGAAAGAGAAAAAACCCAGGAAGGAAGGAAGGAAGGAAGGAAGGAAGGAAGGAAGGAAGGAAGGAAGGAAGGAAGGAGTTCTATAGAAAAAGATGACACTCAGGAAACTGAAAACAGGGTGGAGTTTGAGACGCCTTTGCTGCTGAGTCTGGAGGAAATTGGTTTCCGTCTGACAACATTCTACACACCACAGGGCACAAGTAAGAGGTTTTTGCTAAGCTTATGAAATACACATGTCGGAAGGATTTACCACAGATGTATGCCTAGCCAATTAAGCTTGAATGAAAAGGTGAAAGAAATTATCAGGTATCTGTGAGGCTGAGGAGAGGATATCCAATCCTATTACAATGTAAAAAGAGATACTGTAAATCACAGCAATGCCTACAATAAACGAGGATAGTTTAAAAAACAACACACCAACCCTAGTCTACACAAACACTCCCCTTTATGATCACTTCACATGACTGCTAGATATAAATACTAAAGCAGGGGATTTGTCTGCAATTTATAACAGACGCTTTATTAAAAACCTTCTTATAATAGAGCCTTTCTATCAAGAAGCCCAAAAGAATGAACTGGACTTTCCATTCTTAGTGCTAAAGTGGTAGTTAAAGGATGCAATCCTATGCCTACTTAGTAAAGGTAAAGGGACCCCTGACTATTAGGTCCAGTCGTGGACGACTCTGGGGTTGCGGCGCTCATCTCGCTTTATTGGCCGAGGGAGCCGGCGTACAGCTTCCGGGTCATGTGACCAGCAGGACTCAGCCGCTTCTGGCGAACCAGAGCAGCTCATGGAAACGCCCTTTACCTTCCCACTGGAGTGGTACCTATTTATCTACTTGCACTTCGTGCTTTTGAACTGCTAGGTTGGTAGGAGCAGGGACCAAGCAACAGAAGCTCACCCCGTCGCGGGATTCGAACCGCCAACCTTCTGATAGGCAAGCCCTAGGCTCTGTGGTTTAACCCACAGCGCCACCCGCGTCCCATGCCTACTAACTTGGCAGTCCTGATTTTTTCAAATAGGATTACTTACTTGGCAGTAATCCTATTTGAAAAAAATCAAGACTTTTGAAACATGGATAGGAAACAGCTGAAGAGACACAGCTCTGAAGTCAAACCTTTCTTCTGAAAAGTTCTGGAGGACTCAAAAGCATGTACACTTTTTATGCTGTTTAGGTTGTCCTAATAAAATCCTTGCCTTAATGTGATTTTGAAACTTAGCTTGATTATTAGGCAAACCAGTATCTTTCAGTTTCAACTCTGTTTGCAATATGGATATGATAACATTTGCAAGGATTGTGGCAAAGATTACTG